AGCTTACAAAAGAACAGAGATCATTCACATGTACAGAGCTGGGCCAGAACAAAAAGACAACAACTCCATAGACAATTCATAAGCAAGATTCATCTATCATCTTCTATCATATTAACAACGATCCACATATCCTGCCACTAACACTGTTTAGTCACACAATCACCTGCTTTGAGTCATTCGGTGAGCAGATTGGTAGATTTCTTAGCTTGTAATACTGGAAAAGTTGCTTATGTTTTATTAATGGGTCTTAATAATTTGAATCAGGATATTTTACCAGCATAATAGTTTTATAGATTGGAATAGATTACATTTTGGATTCAAAGATGAGCATAAAAATGGACGAGTTGCTGAATTCTTGCAATTATTTTACATATTGAAATCTTAGGTCGTGTACAAAGTTCATTGCCAAATCTCAGGGTAGAACAAATGTATTCATATGAATCTATAAAGCACTGGTTTAAGGAAGTTTTTTTTTTTTCGGTTGTTGAATATGTATGGTTAAAACTTAAGAAAAGTGCAATAGCTAGTAGCAACCCATGTATTTAGGTGTGATTCACATTTTTTAAAGGGTGGTTTAGTTAGGAAATGGCACCATTTTAAACATGGTACACAAAGCAAGTTTCAAAACCCTTTCCGTAAGTTGTCCAGTTATGCATAATCTAATGACAGATGATGATGATGATTTTTTTTTTTTTTTTTTTTCTGACTGAAGGAGCTGTAGTTGTGTGTGCTTGGTTAAACCCAAATGGAATCTGCAGAAACGAAATTCTGGAATACAGTATATGTGCATCTTTTTATCTCTGAACATTTTCTTCACAGAAAATATAAAATCTTATGAAGTTATAAACCTAACATCACACAATTGTAACTTCTTTTCTCAAGACTGACTTTACTGTAAATATTGATTGTATGAAGTGAATCTATTGAGAAAAAACTCACAAAACACTTGCATACGTGAGATATAAACTAAGAAATCATTGCATTCCTAAGTTTACATCACATAATTCTGAGATCCCCCCCCCCTTCAAATTGTGAGAAAAACACTGAACTGTGTGATAATACCCCTGAACCCAATGTTTTGTTGTAAGCTTGAGCTACAAGCTTACAATTTATAGTTTACATTTTTTTCCTTGAATTGTTAAAGACACTGAACTGTGTGTGTGATAATAACTGTTTGATAATACCTCTGAATGCTATGGTATTTTTGATTTTTTTGTTAGAACCTTGAGTTATAAGCTTACAATTCAAAGTTGTGAGGAAAAAAAAAAAGAATTTCAAGATAAATCTTAGAACCACGAGGAATTAAATGAGACTTGCAAGAAAGCCTAAAAACTTGCACTTAAAATGTAAACTCTTGAGAGTAAATTCTGAGAATATAAATCATAATCATTAATATTTTTTGATCTTTCAATTCTAGATTTATATCTCACTACTCTAATTTTGAAATCTTGTAATTATCAGAAAAAAAAGTTAGAATACTTGCAATAAATAAATTTATTTTTGTCAAAAACGCATTAAACACAGTTATGAAATGTAAACTCAGAAATCTGAAGAAAAGAAAGTATTATTTTTCATAATTCATGTCTTAAAATTTTGACATTTTCTCAGAGATAAAAAGTCACAATTACTTTTTCCTTACGCAGAAATGGGTTTCTACATATTTCCAGCATATTCTAATACTTTTAGCAAAATTGATAGTAGATTTCCCCACAAAACCAGTGCAGAAAATGTGAAAAATGAAATCCTACATTTATCTTGTGTCTTGTGATTTGTTATAGTCCGATCCTCAAAACAAATCATGACATAAAACAAGACTAACTTTGAAATGACATCAGGGAATTCTGATTTGAATACTGACCATCCGTTCCTGTATTTATGCCTCATATATATTTAAAATTAAACAGGTAGACTTCTACTTTACAGAACGACCCCACTAGTACAAAAATATACAGTGCAGCAAATTAATCTCAGTAAAGTTAGCATACGGAATTAATTGAGTTCAGCCCAATAAATCTGTGAAAACTGATTGGATGCGTCTCCATAAACGGCATACTAAAACAACCGTAAACATGTTGAGCCTCGCTTTAATATGGAGCTCCAGCTTCTCAGTGACGCAATGATAAATACTATATACATTATACTTCATGATATCGTTTCTAAAGGGGAGGACGAGAAAAAAGAGAGAGAACTGCACAGTTAATAAGGCATCTAAAATCAAGCAGCTAAGGACACCACTTGAGTGAAAAAACTGCAGTCACTGTCACCTGTCAATCATAGACGAAGCTTAGTATCCATGCTACATTCCAGAGATGAGTTATTATGGTGAAATCGCCACCACACGCCCGCGTCCGACCTCCTCTTCATACTAAAGAAAAGTACATCATTACAAACATTCTAGCTTTTCTCCTGTTTTTGCGCTTTTGTCGTCTTTTTTTTTTTAATCAACACTGTACATTTTATACACTATAGTACAATAGTATGTCGTCGCGCACTACGAGCGTCGACGTAAGCGGTGCACATGAACGTCATAATGAGCTTTCAAAGTGGTTTACATTGCGGCGAATGGACGGAGATGTTTCTGTTTTGATTTAAGGCAAGACACTGAAGGTGAAAAGTGAAGAAAGTGTACTTTGTGAAGGTAGTCTACTCGAGTATGGTGCAACACATATCCTTTTTTTATTATTAATAAAGTTAAATGTTTTAGAGCCTAGAATATGTAATGACCTTAGTGTCATCCCAATTTACTTGAAAAATATGTGTCGTTGCTTTATTCTGTATGCCAAATTATTTGTTTCCTTGGGAACTACCCAGCCATGGACACCTCTTGAGTGGATCTGGACTATTGAAGAATTGAAAACAAAGGTTTCCTGAGTTATTTGCCATTTTTTTGTGTCTTTTGGATGAGACTTTTTCCATCACGGCCTCCAAACTATCCCCATATCAAAAACTTTGTCTCCTTCACCAATCAGTTGGTGTGTAGTGTGCGGTCTGGCACAATATGGCTGCCATCGCGCTATCCAGGTGGATGCTGCACACCGGTGGTGGATGATGAGAATCCCCCTAATGTGTAAAGCGCTTTGAGTGTTCAGAAAAGATATATAAATGTAATGAATTATTAATTATTATTCATATTTTTATAGATTGTACCAGCTTTTAACCAGGTTTTATAAGACGACAGAGTAAACTCAGCCTTGAATAAGAAACTGATTGTTCTTTGTGTGTGTTTGTGTGTGTGTGTGTGTGTGTATTCTATTTCTGTGTGGATCATTTCACAGGCTGGTCTCACCTCTCAACAGTCTGACATTTCTATGTTTGAGATATTGAGACATCATTCAAAATGTTCTTAGTCTATCTGTGTTTTAACCAATCAGGTTGAAACATCTATATGTATGACATGGGTAATAACATTATGTGAGAGATTTGTTTTTTTTTAAGATTGTGATCAGAGCATCTACAAATTCTTTGTGATTGTTGAAGCTAGCTTCTGCTGATGAAACTGCAAACTATCTTCAGTAAACTTTCTTTTAATTGAATCTCTGACTTCGGCTCTTCTACATCTGTTAGTCTGGTCATTTTTAGATTAAAACTGTTGGTCCCCCTACATTAAGGTACATACAAATAGTTAACTAATAGTTATGACTGAACTTCCCCTGGCGATTGATTGGATTGTTTTCATAATTGTTATATTTACAGAGATAATTCACCCAAAAATGGAAGATTTCCTCACAATTTACTCATACTCAAGTGGTTCTAAACTGTTATGAATTTATTTTGTGTTCTTCTGTTGAACGCAAAATAAGATATTCTGAATTTTTTTGAAAATAAATCAGCGATTAGTAGGAACAAAAATATGTCAATGTCAATGTGTCGAACCCAGATAACATTCCTCAATATATCTTTCTTTGTGTTCAACACAACACAGCATTTTCATTTTTCCGTAAACTGTATCTTTAAATATGCAAATGAGACATTCAATTCAAAATGCACAATGTTTGTGTACTTCTATTCAGAAAAATCTGAACATTATTTTTACAGGTTCATTTTCTGACACCTGTGAGTATATTTTGGTCCCACTTTATATTAAGTGGCCTTATACAAATTAATCATTTGTTACAATGTACTTACTGTGTAAACTACATTGTACTTATGACTGATTAAATACCTGCATGTAACTACATGTGTAATTCATTTCTGTAAATACATATTTAATTAAGCTGTTGACCATCTCTTACACCTTAACCCACCCTTAAACCTACCCATACCACCAAACATGTACAACACCTCAAGAGCACCAGAAGTGATCTGCAACACATTATAAACACAGTAAGTACATTGTATTTGTTTTTAATGGAATTAAATAGTAGTTAAGGCCACTTAATATAAAGTATGACATACATTTATTCATTTTTTTTATGCAGGGGATTTTAGGAGTATTTTTTTCACTCCATCATTTGGAAACTACCATGGACAGCCATAGTTTTTTTTTTTTTTGCTAAATAAATTGTCTATAATCAGGCAAAATATGTTTGAACATATCCCTTGGTTTAAAAACATTCAGAAAACTTTGAACTTTGGTGTTTGTAAGATCTGCTGAGGTGAAGTTTTATAACAAAGTGCTAATTTCAACAAAATTGCATTAAAAAAAACAAAACAAAACATATATTTTAAGAATCTGTAAATCTACAGAAACAAATTAATAATGTGTGATTCTGCATGTTTTCTTTGCATTAGATAAAAACCCATGTATTTGCCTGCAGTGTCTTGCCTTAAGACGCATCTGGAAGTGTGTTCAAGAAATCAAACATTACTTCACACACTTCTACTGTTTCAGTAGCTGCTTGCATTAGCAACACCGCAATAAGTGAACAGCAGCCATTTACAGTATGTCCTCGGCCATCTTTGCTGGTGAAATGCAAACTTCCGTCACCCTTTCACCAAAAAATTGGATTCTGCAAGTTGAATCCATTTGTCGCTCAAGCATTTATGACAAAATAAATATACTATAAACATCTTCTGTCATTTAACTGTGGCTTATAGTGGATGTAGAAAGACAGACTGATACCCCAAACATGGACTTGAGAAAACAAAACAACCCTCCTTTTTCTATGAATAACAGTCCGACCTCTGATATGCATGAATGAAACGCAAACTGTGAATTACTGTTCCTTCTTTTCTGATTTTTTGTGTGTTTTCCTCTCCTAGGAAGCTCTGATGTGCATGGACAGAAGCTGAGAAAGGGTCGTATGCGGAAACATCCAGGGTTTGAGGTGTGTGGTGAAGCTGCTGATAGGGACCGTGGTGGGAGCAGTTGTTAACTCTCAGTCTGTTTGCTCTCAGGCTTGTTATACCTGCACGTGTGTCCCCTGTGCGTGCAAACTCTGGACGGCGGAGAGAATCTTCTTTTGGTGGCCCACCAGAGTCACGTCCATCTTGCTCAACTCACTGTAGAAGGAGAGACAGGAAAAGTGTTTTAGGAAATTATGTAATATTAGATTGCAGATTGATTTGCTGTGCAGTTACAGAAGCAACAATCAAGGAGCAATATGTCGTGCCATGAGTCTTTTGTCATGTTTTTAAGTAATCAACTAATGAAGTTGCGGTCACACTAGAGTTTGAGCATACAAAAATCTGACGTACGGCCCTGCGAAAAGGGGCCGGATTAGATGGTTAAAACCGAGCGATTGCTCCACATTTTACATTTCTGTACAGAGAGGTCATGTTTTGACCTTCTATTGGTCTCAAGCAATCGCATGATGTGATTTCACTGGTCAGAGTTCAACAAGCTTGAACTTTGCAACACAGCAACATGCAAAAGTTTTCATTCAAGCTTAAGTTTCCAGTCTGCCACATTTGCATGCGTATAAATGAAAGTCTATGGGTCATAAGGTGGTGTGACCGCGACCTAAGTCTCTAATAAGCAACAAACTAATAAGCTCTAACTAAAAGTAGCCGATTTTTCATCTTAATGTGAAGCGAATCATTTCAAAGTTTGAAAAAATTGTAGAAAATAAGAGTGGCCGACTGTAGTTTTGATTACCTAGTATCCAATAGTAAACAAAGAAAGCATAATGGAGACATCTAATAAATCGCTATGTCCGAGTTTTTTCAGCAAATTCATTTTAATCACCCATTATTCACATTAACACATTTTCCAGAAAGCGTAATTGTTTTTTTTTCAATTTTTTTTATTAAGATATTTTAAATGGAATTTCCATATACAGTGCTCAGCATATGTACACCCCGCTTTGAAAATGAATATTTGTATCGATTTCTCAGTGAACTTAGGCAATGTATTTTGGTGCATTTGAACAAAACAGATATATTTATTAAAATAATATTTTAGTCACCAAACATATTTAGAAATTGAAAGATAATACAATTAAATTCAAGCACATTTCAACTAAATGTTTACATTTTTTGCTTCTGTTGATTTTTCATCTTTTTTTTTAAATTTGTATTAAATATTTTTTTATGTAGCATAAATTTGGCTGTATTTGTTTTTGGACCATTATTATATGTTATTTTGTTAGATAAGCTCCAGATTTGGCTTCAGTACTGACTAATTCAATGTATATGCACAAATATAATATTGTAAAGCTTAATATTAAAAATATGAATTTAAAAGATAGATTTGTTAACTGTGTAGTTCTATATGCTAAGCACTGTTTACCATGTGCAAAAATACTTCAAAATACACAATTGAGTGCCAGAAACTCAGCTAGTTAGTCAGTAATTAGAACCCATTTAAAATACTGTAAAAAGGAGTATGACCATAAATACAAATACATTTTTTTATTCCCAGGTCCTGCTGGTTGCATTTCCCAAATTTTCATTGCCAATCTTAAGCCAATTGTAATCGTTTGTTTTGGTTCAATTTGGAATTTTTCTAACCATTGCAGAGCCTGGGGGATCAGAGTGAGAGCTCCGACTTGGCCCCACCCTGATCTAATACAAATACATTTATTTGTATTTTTCTCAAAAAGAACAAGATAGCTCAAAGCAAGCAAGCTAAGACAATGAATTGTAATTAATGTGGATACAATGTCATTAACTTTTATGTCCTTATTTGTTTATGCAAAGCGGTTTGATGTAAATGGCAAAATGAAAATTGCAAGTGATTCAAAGAGATCAATAGGCGAGATGTATTTAAAGTTTCAAACATCATCCATAATAAAAAAGGCAATGAAAAGAAGAGGCTGTCTACTAAGTGATTTGATCAAAAGGCATATCAAATGCAAGTATTGTGTCTGCTTTGCAAAATCAACAATCTACATTCAAATTACTTTGAAAGTAAAATAATAAAATATTGCTAATAAAACAATGCAAAACAATAAAACAAGAATTAAAACAAAATCAATTTTTGCCAACAAAATGGTCAAATGTGGTGGTTTGAAAAAGGGTGGTTTTAAGCATTAGGATTTCAAAGTAGTACGATCTAAAATTTGAGTGAGTTCTGTAAAAACAGTTAAAGGCAGAATTATTAGCTCTCCTTAATTATTAGCCTCCTTTTATATATTTTCCCCAAATTTCTGTTTAACTGAAATATCATTTTTTAACATATTTCTAAACATAAGTGTTAATAAAGTAAATAACTAATTTCTAGATATTTTTCAAGTTACTAGTATTCAGCTTAAAGTGACATTTAAAGGCTTAACTAGGTTAATTAGGGAAACAAGACAAGTTAGGGTAATTAGACAAGTCATTGTATAAAAGTGGTTTGTTCTACAGACAATCAAAAGAAAATATGGTCCCACTTTATATTAAGTGGCCTTAACTAATATGTACTTACATGGGAATTAATAGTTTGTTAAAATGTACTTATTATGTAAATACATGTATTTAATGTGTACTTGTGCTTGATTAAATACATGTATCTAATCACATCTGTAGTTAACTTTTGTAATTACATTTGTAAATACACTGTGGACCATCCCTTACACCTTAACCCACCCTTAAACCTACCCATACCACCAAACCTGCAAATAACCCAACTTCTATCCCAACTCAAAAGCACCACAAGTGTTCTCAAATACATCATAAACACAGTAAGTACACTGTATTTATTTTTTTGATGCAAGTACATAGTAGTTAAAGACACTTAATATAAAGTGGGACCGAAATTATTTAAAAATAATAATAATAATAATAATAATACCTCATTTTTATTATAGCTAAAACGAAAATAAGACTTTTTCCCAGGATAACAAATATTGTAGGAAATACTGTGAAAAATTTCTTGCTCTGTTAATCATCGTTTGGGAAATATTTAAAAAATTTTAAAAAGAAAAAAAATCATAGGGGGGCAAATAATTGTGACTTCAACTGTATGTGAATTAAATTAAACTTAAAATATGTGAATATTTTCAATATATATTCACAAGACACATATTCCCTCAGGAGAAAGTAAGTGTGCTTGTGTTAGCATTCAAACTTACCACATGCTGATGTACAGAATGGAATCTAGGGAAACATAACCCGCATTGGCAAAGTTGTCCTTGTACTGGCCCATATTGATGGCGTCCAGCCATTCATCCACCGTACTCACACTGAACTCTGGGGTGGTGGGGTCTTCCCTGTGAAGGAAATTGAATTTGTGTCAACTCAAGCTCCGTCCATAGCTAAGCTGGAAAACTCCTCTTGCATTATAAATCATTTTGGAGTTGTTCAGATTTCAGATTTAAGCCTGCAGTTAACTGAAATGTAATATAATCACCAATTTATATTAGTTTAATGATTCAGTTTTCTAAAGAAAAAAAAAGTATCTAACTGTTTCTAAATGCCATGATGCTTTGCGTGAAATATAGGAGCTAACATCAATTAAACACTCAGTCTGAATGCAAAAATGTACAATTAGGTGGATTTATTCTCCCAGTTTATCCATCGAATATTAAAAGGCAACTTTTTAGCATTAACAAATTACTGTCAGTGGACCGTGGATAACCCTAAAAATGAGAAACAAGTGTTTCTGCCGCAATATTATGGATTTATTTGTTGAATATTACTGTAGGGAATACAAAGAGAACATATTATGGAGGAACATAACTCAGTGAGCTGAAAAGAGCTTTGACCATGGATATGTGTGATATTAATGTTTCATTAAAATGCGAAGCATAACACTGTTTTCTTGGTGGATAAAACAAAGCACAAAACTAAATGGGTCCAACTTTATATTAAGTGGCCTTAACTAATGTGTACTTATATAGGAATTAATTGTTTGTTACAATGTGCTTATTGTGTAAAAACATGTATTTACTGTGTACTTATGCTTGATTAAATACATGTATGTAATTACATCTGGGATTAAATTTTGTAACTACATTTGTAAAAACACTGTTGACCATCCGTTACAACTTAACCCACCCTTTAACCTACCCATGCCACCAAACCTGTCCATAACCCAACCTCTATCCCAACTCAAAAGCACCACAAGTGTTCTCAAATACATTATAAACACAGTAAGTACATTGTATTTATTTTTCTGATGTAAGTACATAGTAGTTAAGGACACTTAATATAAAGTGAGACCACCAAATGTACAATTTATCCAGAAAGTATTCATAGCACTTCACTTTTTCCAATTTTTTCTTATTCCAAAAATCAGTTGCTTGTGCGAGTTGATACCTTGTTAAGTTATTTCATCAGAAGAGGATAAAAGTTTAAGAGTTAAAACCAACCGCCTTGCCTTTTCGTTGTTCATGACAGACGAGTGACAGCAGCGTTTGAGTGAAAACCGGGGGTCAATTCAATCTCAGACCCAGGACGTGTTTAACGGCCTCGCTCTTCTTTGTCGAGGGATAAAATGACTGGCAGGCTGGGTTGTAATCAGACTGTGATGGACTTGAGGAAGCGTATATCTCTTGAAGGTCTCGGACTCTCCAGCTTTACAGCTGTAATGTGAACTCTGGCTCTCTGTCTCGCGTCAGCTTTTACAATGGGGGTTCAGGCTATCTAGACAATGACATCTTTTTACAAAGCCGCAAGATGGATGTCTGCTGGAAGAGGATCAGTGGCACTAGGTTTGGTTATATTAGACAATGTGGAGTTTATCGGCGTGTTGTTTCGCATTAAATGAAAGATTTGAGAGTTCATGGGGCAGACAAAGAAAAGCTGGATTGGATTTTCCCTGGATTTATTTGAGCTGTTAGGGATTTGTTTTTGTGGCTTGTAAATGTTTTATCTGTATGTCACTTTGAATGAGACAGTCTTTTTGGGTTTAAACTGGTGCAGCTCTTTGTGTTTTAATGATTTCATCACTGTAGCTGGTATACATTCAGATACTAGGGGCTTTTGTAACACTGAGTTAACATAAATTCAACAAAGATAATTTACAGATCATTCTATGTTCACGGGAAAGACCTTAGCCAGTTTTATTATTTCCATTTTTAACACTAAACATCTGACCTTGAGTATTTAAGTGTCTCTTCATCACGCAGATTGGCATAAATTTTCCGACATAATTCAGAAATCAAAATTAATTTAAATAATTACATTAGTTGTTATTCCAATTATACATTTGAGTCTAAATCTTAAGCATATGCAATGACAAGGTTTAGGCCTAGACCCAGACTAAAATCTAAATCTGTGTGGTTTCAACTTAGAAACCTATGCTGACTGATGTTAAAATATACACTACCTGACAAAAGTCTCAGTCGCCTATCTAAGTTTTAGAAACAACAAATAATATCTTGACTTCATATGAAAGGCAAAGGTCTCTAGATTATGCTTCTTTTACCAAAATAAAATATGATTGTGCCTTGATTTTTAATTATTTCATTAGGACAGTATGGTTTTGGACTTCGTTGTCAGTGCTGTCGAAATTGAAGAAGGTTCAGGAGTCGCGGAAGAAAGTGAAGAGCGGGAGGGGTTGGTGCTTGTGAGGTGGGGGATCAGTAAAAATGAGGTGCCGGATCCGGCTTGTTCAGGCACAAATAAAGCCCTGATCTTACCCCAGAAATACTCAATAATGTTCATGACTGGTGACTTGGCTGGCCAATCCTGGAGCACCTTGACCTTCTTTGCTTTCAGGAACTTTGATGTGGAGGCTGAAGTATGAGAAAGAGCGCTATCCTGCTAAAGAATTTGCCCTCTCCTGTGGTTTGTAATGTAATGAGCAGCACAAATGTCTTGCTACCTCAGGCTGTTGATGTTGCAATTCACTCTGCAGATCCCTTGCACTAAATGTAACCCCAAACCATGATTTTTCCTTCACCAAATTTGACTGATATCTATGAGAATTTTGGGTCTATGCGGGTTCCAATAGTTCTTCTGCAGTATTTGTGATGGTTGAGATGCAGTTCAACAGATGATTCATCAAAAAAAAATAAAAAATCAACCTTCTGCCACTTTTCCAAATGATCAACTAGAAGTTAGGTTGTTATTTGTTGCTCTTACAATTGGGATTGACGACAATATTTTTGTCAGGTAGTGTAAATTCACATAATTGTTTGATCCCAAGATGGACCTCAGTAATGTTTTTTTTTCCTAAGGCACATTTACAAAAATTAATACTTAAAAATCATTGAATTAAGGCCTAATCCTGGTTTAATCTAGTCCCTGTCTGAAAAACTATGCTACAGAGAGACTTTCAATAAGGGAAAACAATAAAGAAAAATCAAACAATGGTCAGTATTTTTTTTTTTACTATCTAAGTTAAAATTACTCTGACATGTCACTTTGTTTTGTGGAAACTGTTATGCATTTTGGATATGAAGCCTTAATTTGAAACAGAAATCATAGTTTTTCATATACATTCTGTCTGTTATTACACGGATGTCAACAGAAACATTAATTGGGCACAGATTAACTGTTCACCACAAGAAAAACATTGTGAGGTGACAAAGAACATTTATTGTCAATTTTGACTTCAACCAGACTCCAACTGACTTAACCTAGGGCCAAAAAACGCCATAAACACAGTTATAAGCATATTGTCCAATGCCTTTAGCTGTGCTTAAACATCAGCTGGATTTAAATGAAATTAAGTTTCTCACCAAACTGAGCTGTTAGCGAGCTCCTTCAGACTGTTGGGGTTGCGGATAAGTTTGTCAAGAGTGTTGACGATCTGCCCGAATTTGGGCCGTTCACTTCTGCTTTTCTCCCAGCAGTCCAGCATGAGCTGATGAAGGACCACGGGGCAGTCCATTGGGGCGGGAAGCCTGTAACCCTCATCTATAGCTTTAATCACCTACAACAAAGACACAGGAGTCAAAACATGCAAAGAACAAAAGCTTCATTCATGTTGGTACGTGTTTCTTACTTTCTACAGTTTGGGTTTCTATTGATTTCCATTTACTGCCAACTAATCAAGGGGATTTAAAACAATTACCAACATTTTTCAAAATATCTTTTGTGTTCTGCATAATAAAGAAAGTCATAGAGGTTTGGGATAATGTTGGTGACTAAATGACAGCAAAATTTAATTAGTTGACTTTCCATTTAATATTTAACTTTACATAAATATTTATTTTCATATACAGTTTCATATACATATAAAGTCAGAATTATTAGCCCCCCTGGTTTTTTCCCCAATTTCTGTTTAACAGAGAGAGGATTTTTTTTAACACATTTCTAAACATAATAGTTTTAATAACTCATTTTTAATAACTGATTTATTTTAGTACAGTACATAATATTTGACTAGATATTTTTCAACACACTTCTATACAGCTTAAAGTGACATGTAAATGGTTAACTGGTTTAATTAGGTTAACAAGGCAGGTTAGGGTAAATTATTGTATAACAATAGTTTGTTCTGTAGACTATCGAAAAAAAATTGATTAAAGGGGCTAATAATGTTGACGTTAAAATGTTGTTTTTTTTAGAAATTAAAAACTGCTTTGCTTCTAGCCAATATAAAACAAATAAGACTTTCACCAGAAGAAAAAAAAAATATTATCAGACATACTGTGAAAATTTCTTTGCTATGTTAAACATAATTTGGGAAATATTGTAAAAAGAAAAAGGGTGGTTAATAATTTTGACTTTAACTGTATATTTGATGCATGTTTTAGAGTTAAAGGCAATGCTGATATATATCTTGGAGTTCTGACTCGCAATGACATTTTAATTATGAATTCAATTAGTTGCACTAAAATATGACTTAAATGAAAAATTTTAATGACAAATTATGTTTGCTTCACTAAAAAAAAAGAAACATTTTCATGAAACAGTTTTGACAATCATGTTTATGACAGATTTATGACAAGTAATGTTGTCTTGGTAATATCAAGTTGTCATAAAGACACTGACAGGTTATGATGCATTTATGTCCGGTTGCAATAACAAAAACATCTCAAACTATGTACTTTCAGAACTTAAAATGACAACTGTAACATTTAAAACTGCTTTTACTCTAGCCGAAATAAAACAAATAAGACTTTCTCCTGAAGAAAAAATAAATAAATCATCAGTCTGTGAAAATTGCCTTGCTCTGTTAAACATAATTTGGGAAATATTTAAAAAAGAAAAAAAATCAAAGGGGGGCTAATAAGTCTGACTTCAGCTGTATGTCATGTCATGATTATTAATACTTCATGACAGTCTTATAAACACCCACTTCAAATAAATTTTACAGTTTATTTTTCTTTTGATATCAGAGAATATCTTAACAAGGTCTCTATTTTTTTTTTCAATTGCTGTACATGTAAATGCTACTAAACGAAGCACATTTTATGTAGGTTAAATTATCTTTCGTTTTCAAGTATACAGTTCATTATCATAACGTTTCTTTACATAACGTCACATAACTTTTAACAATGACACTGTTTAATAGCTAATACCAACACATGTAGCCCTAATTAGCAGTTATAATCACGTAAGAAACATTACCTGAATAAACCTTTGTCGGCTGACTGACATAAAACACTACGACAAGCAGCAGACTGCAGCAACATCTCCTAAAGGACTAGAAGTCATTGCTCTGATTAAAACAGCTCCTGCCACTTCCTTTCTCAAATCAAACCAACTATTTTCTTTTAGACAAAAAACATTCTTCTTTGTTTCGAAAATGAACACAGTAGCTCTGAATCATTATAGCGGTGCCCTGAAGGTCCTCAAGATTTCTCTGACATTTCCTCTGATGGTAATAAGGGGGAAAGTCAGAAACCGTTAGCATAATACAGCAGCGAGGGATGGAGTGTGTTTAACTGGCTTGTTTTAAAGACAGGAGCAGCTGGACAGCTCTCGTTTATGAGGCTCCTAAAAACCATTGTCATTCAAGCAGGTTTTCAGTATGGATTTTACTCGTTTGCAAGGACACACAGTTCAGAGACTCTGCTCCCCTCAAGAGGTTTTCAGTGCAAATGATATTACCCAAGATATTAGTGGAGCAGATTTCAATTGAAACAATCCACGCGAGGACGTGTGTGTTTGCGGTTTTGTCAAGGACACTTACGTCTTGATTAGACATCTCCCAATATGGCCGTTCTCCGTATGAAATCACCTCCCACATGACGATGCCGTAACTCCACACGTCACTCGCTGAGGTGAACTTTCTGTACGCGATGGCCTCTGGGGCTGTCCATCGAATGGGGATTTTTCCACCCTGAATAAGAAAAGATAAAAGAAAGTATTGCTTTAACTGTTAGGAACTATTATGTCATATGAGTTGATTTTATTCAGATTAACAGGTTTTGTTACAGAATGTACACTCAATTTTATAAATTTTTTTGTTGTCGCTTGTTTAAGCTACTTATTTAAAATGAGATGAAACAACGACAACTTAATTGTTTAATGTTCAATTCACTTAAATTTGTAAAAACTAATAAGTTAACTAAATTCCTTCATGTTGTCCCAACACAAATGGATTGTGCAGAACCCGGCCTTTTTTACAGTGTGTGATGACCACATAACATGTATAAATTTAGTCTTTCATTAAATGTAATGACAGAGTTTTCATTTAATTGTTTCCCTTTATTCTTATTTTTTTTCTCTCAAACGTTTTCAATCTTAAAATTTAAAACCAATAATAAAAAATATGAATCTCAAGTATTTACTGTCGATAACATTGTCAATGAGGTGAAATGTGAAGCATGGACATATTGCATATTCCAAAATTATTTGTATTGGTTTTTCTTTTTTAAAAGAAATTATTCAGCAAAGACAGATGGATTACTCAAAAGCAACATTTACATACACTAAAATAAATTATTAATTGGATTTACTCATTGTTTAAGTAACAGTGCTCAGCATATATACAAGTACACCCCTCACAAATCTCTCTTTTAATTTCATATTTGTTGAAAAAAATGTTGAAATTCTATAGGCTGTAATATATATATCAAAATATTGCCAAAAAAAAAAAAAAAAAAAAAAAAAAAATATATATATATATATATATATATATATATATATATATATATATATATATTTTTTTTTATTTTTTTTATTGGCAATATTTTGATTGAATTTAATTGTATTATCTTTCAATTTCTTTATATGTTTGGTGACTAAAAATATTTTAATAAATATATCTGCTTAATAAATCTGTTTTGTTTAAATGGATAAACATATTCATTTTCAAAATGGGGTGTACTCAATTATGCTGAGCACTGTAAGTGATTGCAAACACTTTATATGGGCTGAGTTTAAGCAAACAAATTTAGTTGAACATTGCTAAAAAATACTAATTTGTATTAGTAGTTTTAATTTAGCCCATTTGATTTTTTTTCAACAACTGTGCAAAAAAAAAACTGTAAAAAAAAAAAATTTTCAACAACTGTGCAAAAAAAAAAAAAAAAACTATAAAAATAAATAAATAAAAATAAATAAAAAATAAAATGTGACAACACGTCTGACACAGCTTTGGGACTCAAACCATATTATACACTATTCTATTATTCCCCCGATTTGTTCAATCAACCCCCCTCAAAAAAAAAAAAGAAAAAAAAAAACAATAAAATAAAATAAAATAAATAAAAATAATAAAAAATAAAACAAAAAAAAAAGTGAACTCAATCATAAGATCCAGAATTTCAAGGAAATGATTCTGTGATGCAATTTCCATAATAAAAAAGGCAATAACCATAAATCTAATAAGAATGTTTTAATTTTAGTAGATTTTATATTCTGAAAGTTAAACAAACACCCATAAACAGTCAGCAGCATGGAGTCAATATTTGTCTTTCTCTTTTCCAGCACTCCGACAGAGTCTGCATTTCCCTAAATGTCTTTTTAAATAGCTGCAGCATTTTGTAGTTAATCTCTACAGTCAAAGTCAAACAAAAGACAAACTGGCTGTACTCTATATAGACATACGTGACTGGAGTGCCAAAGAACGGCAGCGGGGGCCCATGGGGTAAAATCATTTAAAGAGAATTTCAAAAAGCGATCTTTACCATTTTTTTTTTTTTTAATTATATAAAGTCACGGCACATAAACGGCTGCCTCGCGTGGCCTGGAGGGTTTTGTCTCTTCATGATTCCAGCACTTGAAGCAACGGGACACGGGGCACTGAATGTCAGGGCCACTTATATTTTTAAGAGCTCATCCCTTTACCAAACACACATTTTGCCTGAGACTCAAACACACACGGGCATCAAAAAGCAATCTGCAGGGGTCCATTCAGGGTTGTACAAGCTCTTCCCTCCCCTGTTTGCATGTGACAACAAATTCTCCTGCTGAGTCTATGCTTTGTCCACCTGAATGAACACACACACATGCACGCGTACGCACATGTTCACACTGCCTCAAGCCCTCTCTTGCCCTTGGCCTTCATACGGATCCACAGGGTGCTCACCAATTACAGAACTGAGAAGGAGAGAGAACTAGACGAGTGATAGTAGGGGGTTTGGAGGCGTCTGTCCTGTCAAAAACGGATGTAATTAATACATGCTGGGTGGACAGAGAAACTGACCCCTGAGAAAGACAACTCAAACATCGCTTCTCTGTGTCTCGCCTTTGTTCTTTCACACAGACACTTTCAAAAGTCACAGGAGGCGTTTTAATTATGGTTTCTTAAAGGTGCACCATGCACTCAGTAGATTATTTAGAAACTGTAGGCCATCACAGATTACCAATGGCATTTTAGGTAATATAATTTGACTACTTTTTTGATTGCTTTTGACATAACTTGTTCCTCACATTCCCAGCCGGGAATTTGCTGTCAAATCACACCAAAAATGCATAAAAAAAACGATTATAGGACTAATCAGTTTTTGACATGCTTATTGACGCTAATGTTTGAAGTCAGTTTGATAATGTGTTGACATGAAGGTAGTTTACATGTAATGTAGGAATACAAAATCAATGTAGATTTGTAATGTCATTGAAGCTTTCAGATGAATAAAACGTTACATAATACTTTTTGTGTCGTTATTTTGGTGGTCAAAAGGATACAAATGTGTGGATATCAAATGGACGAAAAGGTATTGACACATATAAATTTGCATTTTTTTACATATTTGTGATATTGTTTTGACGTCAAGGGGCCCGCTGGATTGTTTTGATTATTTTGTACCATATTGATCTGAAGTACAAGAGAAAGAAAATATGTTATCTGGAATACACAAAGTGTAATAAACATTTCATGTAGTCAGTTTTTTTTTTTTTTTCCGTTGTGACTTGTAATAATTCAAAATTTAAAATATTTTTAGTCAAGGTTTCAAGAATCCATAAATGTTGAAGAGAACATTCCACAACTGAAAATCATGATGTGTAATCATGTATTAGTTAAAAAAGTAATGTATAACCTGATTGTAATCGGAATTATCTGATCAGATTAGTCCCCTTTAAATTAGTCGTTGATAATGAGGATTCCTATTTTCTTATTTTAGAATTCCTTTTACACTATGAACAGTGCTCAGCAAAATTGAGTACACCCCATTTTAAAAACAAATATTTTTATCTATTTCTCAGAGTATATGGGTAATATATATATATTGGTGGATTTAAACAAAACTGATTTATTAAACAGATATATTTATTTATTATTTAGAAATGGAAATATAATCCATTTAAATTCATGCAAAATATTGCAAAAACAAATTACAAACTACAACATTTCAACAGAATTGTATATATATTTTCTTTCTCTTGACTTTAGCTATTTTTTAACATTTTATTTAATAATTTTCCCTAACACTTAAATCTGGTCTACTAATTCTTGAACCATTACTGTGAGTTATTTTGTTAGATAAGCACCAGAATTGGCTTTAGTACTGACTAATCTACTGTATACGCACACATTTAATATTGTAAAGCATACTATAGAAAATATTAATTTAAACAAGGGATTTGTAGGGGTGTACACATAAATGCTGAGCACTGTTAATATACTTTCCACCCTATATACATGACCTTAACTTTCTGATTTGACGGTGATGTACTAACATGCACTTTTTGCAAAGATGCTTTTGGAACAATAATTAAAGTGAAAAGCAAAATACAATACCAATAAGCTTAAATTTAATTGAATTCCTGACTTAATGTCTCTATTCTCTCCTTCAGGGAACGATGGTTACATATGCAACCTTCGATCCAAGCTGTAAAAATAGATGCTAAATCTACAACATTAATAAAGAAAAGATGCTTTACCCGTGTTGTATACGCAGCTTCAGGATCATCCTCCAGCACTCTGGACAGGCCAAAGTCAGACACTTTGCACACCAGGTTACTGTTGACCAAGATGTTGCGAGCTGCCAGATCACGGTGGACGTAGCTCATATCAGACAGATATTTCATTCCTGAAGCGATGCCACGCATCATGCCCACCAGCTGAATGACTGTGAACTGCCCATCATGCTTCTGCAAGAGAAAAGACAAGACAAATGTGTGAGCAATACTAATTATATTATATTATATTATATTATATTATATTATATTATATTATATTATATTATAATTTATTTTATTATATGACAGTAGTTCTTTCTGGTTCTTGAATTTGATTGGCTGATAGCCGTGCTATAACAGCACTCATACACCCTCTTCACTATTGTGTATTACTCCGCCCACATAGAGTGACATCAGATCAATAAACTCACTACAGTTTGACAAATATTGCAGCTATTGGACAACATAATGTACTTTTGAGACATTTGTGAGAATATAGTTGTTTAGATTGCATTTATGCAGTTTATTTATAAAATAGTGCATATTTAAAATATGTTTAATTTCAGACATTCAGCGCATCAGCAGCCATCAGCCTGCCATTAAGCAGAACAAAGATGGTTGACGTTCCACCACAAGATGGCAACAGATAATAAGCCCTTAGGGGAGAAGAAGAGCATACATTTCAAACTATAACTGAGCAAATCATTAGAAATCAGGTAAGTGACTGAAGTGAAGTGAAGTGTAAGTCAATCTCTCTCTCTCTCTTGTATGTTATAGTGCTGTATTTATACCACAGCAATCCGGTAGTGTTTGCTTTGCTTTGGCTTTTTTTTTGGTTATTTATTGTGATCTCCAGATTGCAGGCGAAAAATACTTGAACATTTCTGTAGACTGATGGAATTTCATGCCATCTGTCCTTATAATCTTAAAATGTGAGCAAAATCACCTGTTTTGTAATCACTTTAGACATTACACTAGAGAATCAATCAAATACTAGCTCTAATGTGATGTTGGTGAAGTAGAAACAGTTTCTGCTGTTCTGACAGTCAGCTGCAGAGGTGAATAAATGGCAGAAGAAAGTAGTTTCTAATACTAAAGGCATTTTAGATATTATGTGTTTGATTTTTTCTTTATATACACAATTATGCCGTCAAAATGTTGAGTAAACACAATATCACACGAGTAGCAGTGCGATATGGCTGTATATCATCACTGGTGGGACACTAAGGCACTCAGCCTGCGGGCATGAGCCAACACACACCTCCCATCAGTACCGATATACAGCCATATCCCACTGGTACTTGTGTGATATTGCTCATATATGAACACATTTTGAATGATGATGATGTTAATGCAGTAGCATTTTTTATTAGTAGTTTCACAATAATTGTAATAATAATTTTCAAAACATATTATTTTTTAGCATATTTTTAACATGTCATTTATTAATCTTAGTTAATGGTTATTTGAAAATTTACTTGTGTTTTTAGCATTAAAAAAAAAGATTAATTAATATTAACAACATTTTAGTCATTGTGAGTTCTTGTCAGCTACAGTAAATCATCATTGTAAAGTGTCACCTTAACAATAATGTTGGGTATTTTCACAGCAATGTTTGGGAATTTTTGTTTTCTATCACAATTTTTATACTACATGATACAGGCTTAATGCATTTTTCAAAGACTCCAGTCTTTCACAATTCCAGTATTTTTGCCCTGACTCATTATGCAAACGACTCTGACCTCTGGTTTTACAGCTCTTTCTGCTGCAATTGTTAAAATGTTGACAGGCCTCTATTAATGTAAAACCATCTGGATTTGGTGCTTCGGTTAGCAAAACAAAAGAGCCCGGACATCCATTTTGCCTCAAAAACAATCTCCACAATGAGCAATTAGCCCGATGCCTTAATCTCCATATCTGGGCAGTACACTAATCTTGTTAAAACCCCACTTTTGTCCCGACTGAGCAATATCAATCTGAAACATGCGCTCGTATAGTATTTCATGCATCATAATGTGGGTAAGTTAATTACGCTGTGTTTTGTGAAATGTGGCCGCTGATTGATCGTCTGGCCTGATCAACTGGCTGTTATCAATCTAGTGTCAGAAACCACACTACTTACAGGAAGAGCAGAGAGAGAAAGACAGATTTAGAGACACTGAGAAACCATTTGTTTTTCTACTAGTAAGTGATGCTTAACTGATCTGTCTTCTAATTAAACACATGTAGCTGGGTGGCCGAACTATGAGCTATTAGCCATAAAACGGACCCCGTAATTATATTAGCTTTTTATGTGGGCTAAGGGGGTATTTATGGGATTCATTATGTACGTAGCAGAAAGATCGAAAGACTCAGACAGGCCCTTTTTTAGGGGTGGGGGTGTTAAATTTCATTTTCATTTTCTCAAAGTGTAGGCAATTAAAAAGAGTCCTGACTTAAAGGAAAATGTATCTGTGGCGTGCGTAATAAAACTTCGTGGCCTGATCCGCTGGGTGACAGAGGCAGTAATAAATTAGAGAGGATTGCAGAGGAGACGTTATGGCAGCTTGGTGGAGCGCGCGTAGCCTTATTATAAATCTGCCCAGTTCATTTACCCACTTCCTGTCTTTATACAAGACACATTTACAAGAAGCTCACACAAATACATGCTCAAATATTTTTGCTGTTTACTAAAAACAAAGACGAAAGTTTTTGGTCTGTTTATTAATGCAATTTTAAGTAAAATGAGTAGTAAAATGATATAAACAACAACAACACTGAAATAAACAATCTTGAAACTAACTGTGCATTCTCATAACAAAATTGGTAAGAGCATTGGCAGAAGTCATTCATTTTCAATGCGATGCATCTGCACCAGTGTGGGGGTCAAGGAGAGTTGAAGTCAAGTCAACTTTATGGTAATAAGCTATGACGCGGTTTGGCGTCAAGCAATCAGAATGTAGAAGTCTACCGCTTATGAGGATTCCAGCAAACACAGTCCTGTGAACTTTGGTTCTGACAACAGTTGTTCCCCAGGGTTTGATAGGAAAAGCAATCTCTGGATTTACAATATTTACAATGTTTTCTTACAGGGACATCCATTAAAAAAAGTTACTTGTGAGTTACTGATGTGCATTAACGTGCATGTATACCTATACATGTATCAATTGTGGGATTGTCATGCTAACTATAACAGTCTAAAACAGTATTGCTGTTACAGAATACTTTAAACATATGGACAGGGGCAAAGCAAACATTTTAAAAGTGGGGGGACAGTTGTATGAGATCCAAAGGTTTACATTCATATACTTATTATAATCACCTGTTTCTAATTGGTCTACCTCTAAAAGTGAGGGACACATATCAACCCGGTCCCCCCCGGTTTGTATGCTCCTGCATATGGACATATTGGATATATGGAGCAAAGCTACAACACATGCAACAACTTGATCTTCCATTGTTAAGTGAATTTGACAAAAAGTACGCGACACTTTTACACTAGAAAGCATGTTTTTATGCGGGAATGTAACTGATTTGCTGATATGCTGCAACGGCTCTTATAAGTTTGAGTAGGTCATTTTGACACTCTCAGACAGACATAGTTGTTACCAGGGCGGCCAGAGCAAACTTTGACGCTTTAGCCACCTTAAGTGTGAACGCACAATAACTCAATCTAAAACTGTATAATTCTGAACAAATTAATAATTCATATATATATATATATATATATATATATATATATATGTGATTCTTAAACGTTTAAAGTCTCTTCAAACACATATAATTAATTTAAATGAATTTTAAAAATTAATCACAAGCACTTGACTACATCTTAATAAATTTAGGAAAAGAAATTCTCACCTTTTCCATATTCTCTTCCTTCCCAAGCATTTTTTAAGCAATCTCTGAGCAATGCTTGTATTTATTTCCCTTTGTGCAAGTCACTTAATGCCTCACTTGCAAGGCACTTTGAACTAAATGTAAAATATAAATTTAAATACAAGAGTGAGTCCCCAAAGTACTTGATTGACACTTTTGTAACTATTACTTTTAGTCATCTTGAGCGCTTGGTATCTGCTACTTTAGATAAAATCACCATTATTTACAGCTATGTAACTAAACCAAGGTTTACTGAAGCATTGTATTTTGATGACACTTGGAGCACGCTTTTGATGTTTTGCCATGTTTGACAAATAATTGCACAGTTCTAACTGAACAAGGCTGAACATTCAGATAGTACTGAAAAAAAATACACTATAATAACCTTGCCATATTCACTGTACAAAAGACAGGATGCAATAGCCTTAATGGACAGTAAGCAACTGAATCTGCTCTGTCTCCATCAGGCATCCATTCCATGCTTAATTTCCCTCCAGTAATAGACTTTCAGGGAGGTATCCATGGCTTATACCCTTGAGCGATGCTCGTTTATTGGCTGTAGGTAATTAAATGTAAGGCAGCATCTTAAATGGCAAGCGAACATCGGCATGGATTTGCGCCATGGGGTGTTTTGCCTTCCTCACCTTCAGGAAAGTATCCAACGATCCATTCTCCATGTACTCTGTAATAATCATCACGGGCTTGCCTGTAGACATAAAGAAAGAAAGGGAAAAAAAGACGAAAAACACAAGATTTACCATCAGCCTAGATGGAGGGAAAAACATAAAATGTCCTAACAGATTGATGATTCTACACAAATCCACACAGAAATGAATCATGGTAATGGTGTCATTAATCGTTTATAGCTGAGACGCTGAAACACAGGACTGAAGGAGAGGAGGATAAACCCTGGCCTCAGTCTCAGCCTCTCTCCCGGGCAGCCCCATTATTCAGCATGACAGAGCTTCATCAGAGCCTTCGCCATCAAAGACAGCAGTTAATTAACCCCGGCTAATCCGCTGAGAACCAATTAGAGAGCTTTGTTGTCATGATGGGCGGGCAGGACAGTCTGTGGGAGCCGATGGGAGGGCACTGCACCTGTTGTGCTGGGCATAAGCAGTGATGGATGGCAGGTAAGGAGAGGCAAATCTCCTGAAATCTAGACACTTTTACAATGCACTACGTTTGTCTTTTAAATCAGTGGTCCTCAACCAGCCTATTTATTTAGGGGCTGTTCGCATATCGCATCTTTTCGAGAGTTTAGACAAGTTCGTTGTTCGCAATGGAAGTGTGATACACTCGCACCTTCCAGACCCACCCAGCCGCAAGCTAGTCACGTAACAAGAACTGATCAGCTTCAGCTTGTATGGAATATACACATTTCGGTAGACTAATTATCTCAGACAAACACAGACCACCCAAACTCTGCAGTGCTTTGTTATTTTCTTCATAAATAAAACTTATACCAGAGTGACAACGATGTTTTGTCATCCTCTGAGAAAACGGTAGCAACCTACAAACCATCGACCAACTACCCCCTCTCTTCCACGGTTAAATTGTCAAGCGTTGAGCGGTCTGTGGTGGTAAAAAGATTGTGGACCACTGTTTTAAATGACAGTGGAAAAGCCCCAAAATTTGTTATACTGTACATTGTACTAGCGATATATCTGCACTATCACTACAACTGAGAAATACTAGGTTACAAAACCTAGAAAGAATTTAAAGGAAATAATGTGCACGCAAAAAGAATGTAAGAAAACAATTTTGTCTTTTATGGCCTCAATTCATGTCCAAAAACAAGTTAACATACATTTTATGATTACATTTTGCTTCCATATCACAGTCTAAAAACTGGCCTATATGCTAGTTATATGGTAAAACATGTAAAACACATAGAAAAGTGTCTAAATACATATTAAAACTTTAGAAAAAATAGGCTAGATCATAAGCAACGTAGCAAGACATACTAACAACATTTTGAAACATGCTAATAGTGTGCCAAAATAGCATTTTGTTAAAAAAAAGTTTAGCAATTGTTTGAAAACACACTTAAACATGCAAAATTTGTTAGCAAAATGCTAAACCATACAGTAACTATACATTTATAAGGGCTACTAACATGCTAAAACATGTTAGCAAAGCCCTAAAATGTTGTAGAAATATGCAAACCACTGGATTAAACATAAGCTAAAATGCTTTTGATATGTTAGCAAAATAATGCAACATATTAGAAGCATGGGACAGCGCAGTGGCTAGCCCGAGTTCGTGTGGGTTTTCTCTGGGTGCTCCGATTTCCCCAACAGTCCAAAGACATGCGTTATGGGTAAATTGGGTAAGCTAAATGGGCCGTAGTATGTGAGTGAATGAAAGTGTATGGTTGTTTCCCAGTGATAGGTTGCAGCTGGAAGGACATCCACTGCATAAAACATATGCTGGATGAGTTGGCGGTTCGTTCTGCTGTGGCGACCCCTGATAAATAAAGGGACTTAGTCAAAAAAAAAATTAATGAATGAATTAGCAGCATGCTATTATTGTGTGCTAAAACATGATGACATTAAATTACTTAACCTAAATCTTTTCATTTAAACCCTAACTTTTTCTTTATCTACAGTTGAATACATAGAGACTATAAAAATATGTGCCTATATAAGTAACAATATAAGCGCATGTCCTGTTAAATTTCATTAAGCTGTTTTGAACACACGGATAGCAGCGTCCATTGTAGTTTCTTCTCTAGATATCAGCCAACAGTTCAGAACAAGGAGAAGGAAAATTATAGCCTTGCTATAAGCATAAGTTATACTACTGCTGCCACCAATCTACCACAGGGCTTCATCTGCACGCCAATATCTGAAATATAGTGACAGAGTGAAATAAACCAAAAAAATGTTCCAGTGCCTTGTTGAGTCTCGGTTAACAAACTCTGTCATATCCCTCTCAAATCCTCTGACCTAAATCCTTCACTCACAGGTCACAGGGAGTTCAACAATTTAGCGAACCCTGTTTCATCTGACAGAAATGTCCATGTACAGATTTGATGGAACAAATCAAAACGTGACCGCTGGGGTAAAATGACCGTGTCAAATGTGCCTGTTGATTAGTCAGGGCATATGATTCTAGTGGTGTACAGCACGTTTGCCCTTGTTAAAAGAGCATATCAGTGCTGTGTATCAACCCACGCCAAGCATAAGTAGGTCTCCAGAGCAGAGGCTTATAGGTACATGTACAGACACTGAATGTTAAGTGCATCCTGTGCTTCAGATAGCAGCGCACAAGCTATCATGCTAGCATTCAGGGGGTGAAGTGCTCCTTATAAATATTCACTTTTAAGCAGACAAAATGAATTGATGAGTGGAATTTTGCATTAAGCAGTGTTAAAAACAGTCAACAGCAGATTGGATTGCACGTGGGGGAAGTGAATAACCAGCACTCTCTTCCACCACAGTTGAGCAAGGTACCAAACCCCACACTCAAAAAAAAAAAAAAAAAAAAAAAAAAAATGTTGGCTGTTTGTTTAAACTACTTATTATAATGAGCTAAATGACAAAATTCTTGAGTTTTTTGGGGGGCTAACTTAATTGTTGCAAGTCGATTTGGATAAATGTTATCCTCTCCACCATTTTATTAAAAAAGGTTTCACTCCTTTTTAAATTTAAATCTATGGGGCATCTGCATGTTTGTAATTAAAGGTCAATATAGGTACAGATGTTAAAACAACACTTTCTACGTTTTTTTTTATTTATTTTTATCTATAAAAAAATATGTCCAATGCTATAGATTATTACAGTCCAGTTTTATCGACACTAGCTTAAATGTGCAATAGTTGAGTGCTTTCAGAAACAATTTTTGTTAATGTTGGTTGATAATTTCTTCGAGAGTATATACAAGAATAAGACTCTTTCCATACATTTTAAAACCTTATGACCACATTTCAACCGGAAACACTGGCAAGATTTTAACTTGCAGTATATTTACTAAATATTAATGAAAGAAACCAATCCAAAACTAGAACATTATTTATATACTGAATAAAAATCTATCTATCTACCAATCTATCAATATATCTAGCTTGGTTACTGCAGTAAACAAAGCGGCATGATGTCAAATCAAGTAGGATTTCATTGATCTCATAAACTACACAGCATCCTGATTTTTAAAGATTTAATTCAGGAAAACCTTAGCGCAAAATAAAAATAAAAATAAAAATAACATCAATTCAAATATTTTAGTGTACTGCAAGTAGAACAGAGCAAACATTGAAAAACTTCAATATCTATAAAATGTCCATTTATATTAAGCTTTTCAGACATAGAGTGATTTAAGTAATATAAATAATGTATAGTTTTATACATTATATTTATCTTTTAAAAATAAAGGTAGGCTACTGTGGAAAAAGGGGATGTCTCAGACACTTTTAGACACTGTCATTTATTCATTCTCACCATACTCAAGGTCTTGATCATCTCTTTTTCTTCTCTTCTATGTATATCATGTCATAGCATACAGTACATGTTAAAAAAACAGCATTTTGTTTACTTTCGTCTTTCATGAAATAAAGTTGCTGTGTAATAATAATGTATAGTAAATCGGACTCAAAGTAGCATCGCTGCGCAAAAATACGTTATGAATGCATGTTAAACTTTTGACTGTATACGTACAATATGTTTTCTTTTTCCAATAATGCAGAAAGTTTTGAGGTAAGGGACGTTTTCATTTGCCTTTCAGTGACAGTCAGGCAGGCTCACGCAGTACATCGAACTACATCTTTTAAATCTAAATTGAAAGTGGAATAAAACACTGTCTTCATAAAAGCCAGCGTATCAGCGCGCTGCTACATTGAAAATATAAAATTTGATTCGTGTCATCTTGAGATGTAGCAGCTTTTGTTGTCAAACACAAGTTGAGGGTTGACGGTTCATTCCGCTGTGGCAACCCCTGATAAATAAAGGGACTAAGGCGAAAAGAAAATGAATGAATTAATGAATAGATATAGAGCTTTGAACTCAGTAAAAATCTTTTTGATTACTACAGCAAAAAATATGAGGACTCCATGTGTGTCAGTGTATCAGTGTTTATTATAGACATGGGCGCTCAGTTGTGGGCTGTTGTCCCTGTCTCTTTCAGGGACGTGTAAACACCCGCCGTGTCAGTGCTGATAAATGACTTACATTCTGCACATCTCCACTGTGGAAACTGAGATATGTGCTCCAGTCATGGGACGTGAGCTTTATGCGTGTGTGCACATACATACGTGTCTCTATGAGTTTGTGAAAAACAGCTTTGATCACCCCCCCTCTGAGCATCACCACAGCAACCGGCTGGTGATACATCACCTAAAATTAAATCACTATCTCACTGAGATAAATGCCTTCCTCGACACCCCCAAACACACCCCCATGTCTCATCCGAAAAAAAGGTGGAAAAAATGCAATTCCTTTTACTTTTCAGAGGCAGACTAATGTAGCTGTCAACCACGGATGGAGAAAGAGGGGGAAAGGACTGCGGCGAGCTGTGTTCTGGGAATGGCACAACAACGGGTGGCCATCGCTTTATCAGAAAGACAGTTGAAGCAGCGACTGGCATTGATCCTGAAAAAGCGGGTGGCCGAGTCTGTGGATCCGATCAGAGAAGCTTACCCCAACCTCCTGGAGCCTTGACCTCGGACTAAGAGCCGAGCACACAGACAGAAACCATGAGTTTGATGTG